TTTACCATATATACATATTTCATACCTGTATACTCTAAATATGGAAAGGATAATAAAAAAATATTTTACACGTTTATATTCTTATATTGTTATACGAGTATGTATACAAAATATATCAATTAAAATTTTATCAAATAACTCTGTTTTTGTGTATCCATGAATTGTGCGATCCATCGAATCCCAGCCACTTGACGTACACTTTGTCACCCTTCCAGCGCAACACTTTCTCCATGAGATACACGTCCGGATGAGTAGCGCGATGCAATTCGTGCTCGTAGAACGCTCCAGCGAAGGATTTTCCACGATAGTCCTCGAGTTGATAGGTTACGGGATTGGTACGCTGCACCTTAACGATCGTAAACACCTCAGTCCAATTTGGTATGTAACCCTTCTCAAAACTCATCTTGTACTTGCTCACGCGTACCGAATCGCCTACTTTGAATTTTGCAGGACCCGCTATCTTTATCGCGCTGTACACTGTGCCCAAGAGTCTTTCGGCAATCGCGGAAGTTACGTCAGCGGGTCGCATGACGATGGTGCGATGCTTGCGCGCGTTGTAATCTGATACGAGACGCGGTAGCTCGTCGACCCACTTGTAGTTGCCGTTAAGTGTAAACATTTTCCACATATCGTTTTTGAGCGTGTGATTGAACCCCCCGACTGACGCTTTCAACGTCGAATACGTGGAATAGTGATTAACGTTGTGTTTTTTCAGGATATTCTGTACATCGGCGTTGTAAAATTCTTTCCCCATATCCGTTTGTAAATTTTTCGGACATCTTTCACTTTCTCGAAGGATCTCAGTGATGCGTTAGCTATCTCGCTTCCACCCTTGCTCTTGAGCGGTACTGCCCACGCGTACTTGCTCACATCGATGACAGTGAGTATGTAGTGGTAGCCTCTGTTGAAGCTCGAGTATGGGCATATCTCAACGATATCAGCCTGCCACAGATCGTCGTACCCCCGGACTATAACGCGTCTTCGCGGAAAATTTCTTCTCGCCGGAGCGTGTAATTCCTCGACGAGCCGATGTGTAATACACAGAGTACAAGAAAATAATGTATTTTTTCTCGCTGGTGTCACTCGACTGACTCATTTTATAAATACGCAATTTAATTTATAATAAGACCGGCTTCGCGAAGTTCTTCGATGATCGACAGTATCTCGTTGTCGTTCATTGCGTGAAGTAATCCCTTTCCAGATTTCTTCTGTTTTTTGGGTGTGACTGACATCAACGGCGCGATTACATGTTTGTACTTGTATCCTCTGTTGCTCAATAATCGACCTTGCGAATGGTACTTGTGTTTGTGTGCGTTCGTCACAGCATGCTTTTATACTTGTGCATATCGTCTTTCATGTAGAAGGCATCGTCGGGAATTCTCTTGAAAATCAACTCGTAAAGACCGGGTGTACCGGCGTATCGTACGCCATCGATAATTATGTTGTCCGCGTCATCCACGTCAAAACGTTTATTGCCAAACCTTGTTCAGCCCATCCTTGTGTAGGTAAATGCCGTAATTTATACCGCTCTCTTTATCTCGCGCTCCCCTCAGGACGGCCTCGACGTTTTGCAGCTGATTTTGAACCTTCGTCGCTAACGAGTCTTCCATCGTTTCAAAAACATTCTCCAACGACTCTATCGTCGGTACGATTTTGGCACGCAGGGTAAAGGTTACTGGTTGTACATCATCGTGCGATCATTGGATTTATGCAGAGTCGTGGAACGCTTGAACATCTCGCTCGCTTCTTCTTTCTCCTCTTGTTCCTCTTCCTCCTTCCTCTCACGTTTATGGGTAAACGCTGTATCTTCGTCGCGCGCGCGCCGGGGCTGTCGGCGAAAAGTCGCAGCGGCTCGATAAGAGGTTTAAAATGTCTGTTCAACGCGATGTCCTCATCGATTCTACCGGTCTTCAGAGCGCGATATTTCTTGCGGATCGACTCGCTCGTCTTCTCGATGGCCCTCGCGATTTTTTCACGCTCGCTCACATCTGCCGTCTCCGACAAAGTATCGACAGCGACTAGTCGTATTACGGTATCGCGAATTTGTTAAATCTTTTTCTGTATCGTCCATTTGTAAGCGCACTGTCTTTGTCTATCACTACGAATCATATTTTTGTTGCCAACAGGCGCGGCGCAACGCGCAAAATTCGTTGTACGACATGTCGGTATTCAAATGATCGTTGTAAACGTGTTTCAAGTTGGTACCGTCCTGTTCGAACAGTATCAGAAAATTCGCGTTGTCGTGTATCAGATGTTTAGGTATCCTCGCGTACGTCTGACAGAGATAGAAGCAGTCAACGTGTAGACCCATCGAAATATTCTTTCACCGCATCCTACTTATCGCATGCCACGTCATCAAAAACAGAATTTGGGCGCGCCTCACTCAGTGGAACGACGTCGCTGTTGTTGGACGTAAAGTAGCCGATTTCGTCGATAGACGTAAACAAATTTTCGAGATATCGATACTTTGACTGTTGCAACGATTTGGAATAGACGTACACGTTCTCAAAACGAACATCGTTCGGGCTCTCGAGTAAGCTTATGAGAACGTTGGTTTTATCGCAATTCGACGGGCCGCAAATGATCGCGCGTATAGTACTTGGCAGCATTTCGCCGTGCTTGCGCTTCTCTGCGCTACCTCCCATCATTCACGATTTCGCGTCACAGTTCGTGACGCGTATTGTCAGTGGTTGCAGCACGAATTTCATGCTCACACTACAGGCTGTGAGCTCTCGAACGACTATTTAAAGACGCGCGAACCCCGCGAATCGCGCAGTAGCAAAATGTATCTCGCGCCGAGTCATCCTTCCGATATTCGAAACTTGAGCGCCGAGCAGTTGCAATATATACCGAAGGTCGTACTCTTACGCGTGTACGGCGATTACATCGAACACGTCTGGGACCAGCTTCCGGAACACGTGAAGGCAGATTCGGAGATTCGAACCTATCGTTGGTGCGACGAGCACTACAATCAGCCGTGACAGCGAACGCACGTCGACGGTCTCGCACCTAAGATAAAGAACTGTAATGAATGTCAGCGTCGGGCGACAGTCTGTTGAATCAAGCGATAAACGCGCTTCCTTTCGAATTACATATTTCGAGCTATCAGTTTTGCGGCCCGGGCACGCGGCTTGTGAAGCGATTAGCCAGAGGTGACACGGACATAATTCCGCGGCGTGTTGAGAACACGACATTGCGTATTCGCACAGCAACGATCTCACCGATAGACACACGGCAGACAATATACTAGAGAAGGCGCGGAAACGCATTACTGCGAGTGATTCGGCTCTGAGCGAAAGAGAAGCCGTTGCAGCCATCTGGGCAGCGATGAAAGCCAAGACCAAGATCGACATGAGCATGAAACCGAAGAAGACAACGAGGAGGAAAAAGGCGACGAAAAAGCGGATACTTCCAACAGCGAAACAAGGCGGTGCGTTATCGTTTCTGCCAATGTTGGGCGCGCTCGCGTCTTTGATCGGCGGAGCGGCCAGCGTGGCGAAAGCGGTAAACGACAACAAAGCTGCGCGACGTCAGCTCGAAAAACTGCAATGACACGACCGCGCGATGGAACAGGGCCGCGGACTGTATCTTGCTCCGTACAAATACGGACACGGACTGTATCTCGGCCCGTTAAACATGGACAGGGTGCAGCTGCAAAGAAAAAAAAACGCCAAAGAGACGATAAAAATGCCGTCTGGTGCAACTACCAATGTGAAATTAAACGAGCTCGCCAGACGTATGCGCATACCATACCTTTAGAGGCGTTTTCATGCATAACGCGTTACCGACGAGCCGTGCGCGTCGAAACGAAAGCGGTATCGTGAATCTGGACGATGCGACGGGGCCTAGTACTCACTGGGTAGCGTACGCCAACAGAAACAACCGCGTCGTATACTTTGACAGTTTCGGTAATTTTCGACCTCCCAAGGAACTGGTGCGATATTTCGGGAACGATGCTACGACGATAGAGTACAATCGTACGTCCTATCGGATGTACAATCAGAGCTTCTGCGGACAGATGTGCCTGCGGTTTCTACAAAGTAGACGGTAGACGCGCGTGAATTTAGAAAGTTCGAATCACAAGATGCTGTGAAATCTCAGTATTAGTCGAACTCTTTTTCTGTCATGTCGCTTACGCTGACCGACCTCGCAACAAACTACTTTCCCGTCATAAATTTGAGTGACGGCAATTACGAGCTCGGTTTGGCGATTTTTGAGACTTATCACACGGTACCGGACGTGAATAAATCGAACAACAAATTTTATTTTGCCAAAAATGATGCGAAAAATGATACAATTCCCGAAGGTTCGTACGAGACATAAATGAATTTCTGAAACGCGCGATTTTACGGAAACGTCCGCACCGCGACGCGCTTGAAACCGTTGACGCAATGCGCGGTGACAATAACAACAATGACACCGATGACGATAATGGTGAGGGTGGAGAATATCCGATTACGCTCCGCGCAAACTAGAACACGATGAGATGCGAGATTAGATGTGCATTCAGAATAAACTTTGACAAGCTCAACAGCATTGGATCACTGCTGGGATTCTCGTCGAAGCGTATACTGCGACCGCGAAGATGGCATGAATCGGACATGTCGATCAACATAATGAACGTAAACGTTATCCGCGTAGAGTGTAATGTGACCGCGGGTGCGTACAGCAACGGCAAAAGCGTACACATACGATATAAGATATCGGAGAGGCCGCCGCAGATCATTTATCTACCGATCATCGCATGGAGCATTATGGATCTAATGATATGCGTCGTCGACCAGAACGGACGATTGCTCGAGGAGAAGAGATCTTTGTTAGATTGCACATACGACGTAAACAGTGATAATGTGAGCGTGAAATGCTCGTGCTGAACGGAATGGAGCGCTCGCAGAAAGATAACGTATTCTTAAGGCCGTCGACGTCACAGCCCGATAACACTCGCTCATTCAACTGCATTAGGAAGAAGAAGAAGTTCAGCGCGTTGAACACATTACATTTTTAAAGTCTTTGGGATTCGCGATGCGCAACATTTGAGATGACTTATATCCTACACATTAAACATGAGCCGATCTTCGACGATCGCATCGTCAAGATTGAGACTCACACGTACAACCCGTTCGTCAACACAACGTTCAGGTACAGCGACGAGATAAGAATACCCATACAGCAACAGGATCTGTACACACTGCCGTACGAAAGCTTTCTATACGTCGAGGGAAAACTGACGAAGAACAAAGTGGTCCAGGATGCTAACGTGGCATTGGGAAATAATTGCGTCGCTTTTATATTCGATGAGATTTGATATGAACTTAACAGTGTGGAGATTGACCGTAACAGAAACGTGGGCATAACTAGCACGATCGAAAACTATGTAACAGTATCATCCGACAGAAGCGTGATTCTGCGGAATGCCGGCTGGGATGCGCAGACTACGCTCGTCACGAATTGATTTTAATACGAGCGCGCAACGACAACAATTGTCTGACGGGAGATCCGGTGATAAAGCCGACGCTCGAATTATTCAAAGTACAGTGCCGCACGTATTATTGAGCGAGATAAATAAGCTGTCGATGCTGCGCGCTTTGGAGAGCGGACAATATCTGAGCATGGCTTTTCGCTCTTGGGATCTGTACGAGTTTCCGCTCTTGCAGAGCACAATCAAGCATTCATAGGCCATCAAGACGGCTAATCAGCTCGTGAAGCCGCGCTATGTCATTTTCGCTATGCAAATAGGTCGAAAAAATGTCCGAGGATATAAGTCGATTCGACCACTGCAAATTAACTAATGCGAAACTCTACCTGAATACGAAATATTATCCGTACGTTGACTTAAATTTAGATTTTGATAAAAACAGATGCGCGATTCTATACGACTTGTACGCGCGTTTCTGCAAGAGCTACTATGGATACGAGTATCTCGAGCCGAGTCTCACTTTTACAACTTTTTTACGTAATGGCCCGTTCGTAATCATCGATTGCTCTCGACAGAACGAATCGGTCAAGAGTGGACGTGCGATTAGACTTTGAATGTAAGGAGAACGTGTCCACAAATACAACAGATGAGATATTGTCTCATCATACACGATCGTGTGGTTCAGTATAATCCACTGACCAACATTGTGCGCAAAATCACCTAAGTGCACCTCCGACACGATATAAAATCTACGATACGACGCAATCGATCGCAGTATTCTCGACAACATGTCTGTGCCAACATTCGTGGATCTGGAAGGATTCATCGTTAATAAGAAATTTATCATGAAGGAAGTGGCGGCGCTGAAACAGGGGACCGTTCTCACGCATTATATTTTTAGGAGTCTTGTATCATAGAAATTTTTAACAAGATCCGACAGGTCTTGCGCTTCCCGGTTGAGTGCTTATCACCATAGATTGCGATGGTAGGGATAGTTCCGTACAACGAGGCGAAACGCCTGATCACAGCAGCTGTATTTGAAGATGATGTTATCGTGTACGTTAAGGGATGCGAGAAACGAACGTGGCTGTGGGATTTGCTTCTGGACGATAAGCAAGAACGCATGTACATCAACACCTTGGATGCAATTTACGAAGACATGGAATCTTTAACTAATCTGGATGTTACTAATACTATGCGATGTGGACAACATGTTAAGAATTGCGCGTTACAAAATGTATTGAAAATATATAACTGGTGGTTGCAAAAGAATTTTTAAATAAAAATATGTTATCGTATTTATTATGTATTTCTTTTCCCTTCCTTTGTAATACATGTACTCGTATGTACGTATGTATGTATGTATGTATGTATGAATATGTGTATGTATGTATAAACGTATGTATATATGTATGTATGTATAAACGTATATGTATAAACGTTCGTATAAGTTTGTGACAAAAAATATATAGAAAGACGTGATAAAACATGTCGCGACATGTTTGAAATTCTTGGAAAGAGTGGGGAGAGCCTGTCTCCCCTCTTCGATTCCAGAAGTATTACCATATACGTCACAATTCACGCGGATGCAATCAGTCTTGCGATACCCGCTTGTACGAACGGTTAAAAAAAAATGTACTTTGCCAAAGAGAGCAGTGCATCGTACGACGTAAAGAAGAAATATAACATGTAAGTTTCAACATTCTATACACAAAAAAAACGTTTTTTAACATTATGTATGTATGTATGCAGTCCGCAGCATCGTGCAATGCGTTTACTGAGCAAGCGTTACGATCTGACGAATACGGGCTATAAATTTTTGGAAATTGGAATCAACGTTGGTCCACTGAGTTACGTGGAGATCGTTTTGGGAGATCATTGCGGACACGAACTGTGGCTGTCTCTCGAAACCTGGAAGAGTCTCTACGAGCAGCGATGGAATATTTACAAAATGCTTTGAAACGAATACAAGGACAATTTTATAAGTGTTGGGCCGTTAATCAGAGTTTGTACGCTGAACGATGCTACGTTCGTATGTCTCGTTCTTTGTCCGTACTCATTACGATGACCGAAACGACGCTATGCCGTATGTTTAACTTTGATGGGTGTATCGATGTAACGTTCGAACGATTAGTCCGACTCGTCGATAAGGTTGATGCAAAGTATACGCGATTCTCCAATATCACGTCTGAGAACGCGACAGCGGCTTCTTCAATGGACGTCAACTCA